GAGAGAGAGAGAGAGAGAGAGAGAGAGAGAGAGAGAGAGAGAACAAATAACCAATGCCAAAAATAAAAAAGGAAACATTTCTACAGATGAGGGAAGTATAACCAAAGATTAAAGGGGCCAACATAGTATCATAAGAGCATACATATACATAACTAAAAGTTACTCGACAAACAACAAAGCCAGACAGGCGATACCTTCAGTCAAGTTGGTGGCTAGGATAGATAAAGGCTCTTCCAGAGAGTAACCCAACATACTACTGGAAAAATGAACAGCAGACCCCAATTCTATCCAAAGGAACACTGACAATGGATTGCCGTAGATGAGGAACAGCTGACCCTCCTGGAACAGGGACCTCTGGCTGACTAGATTTACCAGAAGGGCAGACAGGGGGAATGGATGAGGGTGCTGACAACGCAGTGGACAGTGACAGGGATGGCAGAGTATGGAGCCTCTAGTGGGAGAGGAAGGCTGTCTATCTGACGAGTTTGTATTCATGCTCAGATGCCGAGGAGCTCAGAAGGGGGGCGACTGTGACCAGTGATAGTCATGTATATAGAGATTAGAAATGCATGTGAAAACGTCTCAATGTCAATTGCTTTGGAATGAATTCTTCTGTATGAAAAAAAAAATTTAAAAAAAAATAATGATTAAAAAACAATAATTAGTAGATGTGAAAAACATTACCATTGAAATCTACCTGATGACTTTATATCCATGCTCAGATGCCTAGAAGCTCAGAAAGTAACCAACTGTGACTAGTAATAATCAGATATTTAGAGATTAGAAATGCATGTGCAAACATCCAATGTCAATTGCATTGAAAAATAATTTTTCTATATGAAACTGTGTATTTTAATAATGAAATGGAGATCTTTTTAAAGGTTAAAACATCATTTAATTTATGTCTTATAGGGTTTATACTGAGTACAATATTGTATAACTGTAATAATTCAACTGTAAACCTAAAAATTTACAGCCAAATTTGAAAGAGATGCATCCTACCTCAGGAAAACGTTATTGAATATGTCAATTGTGTTGTAATGATATGCTTCTTCTAAGTATGTTGTTATTAAATAAATCATTTAAAAAAAAAAAACAAGTGAGACCATTATACACAAAAATTTCACCAATAAACTTTACATGAAATGGGAAAATTCTGGTGAAAATTAGTTACTAAAAATATTAGTGATCCTCTATCTATAAAACAAACTGAATATTAAACTTATAAAACATATACCAATAACCAGAGCCAAATCAGGGGAAGGGGAGGTAACCAAGTGAAAACCAGGAACTGGAGCTTTTCATAAACCTACATATGGCACTTTAGCAGATGTCTCCAGAACAGTCACCAGGGAAATACCTTTTCATCTGTGAATCACCGGTTCCTCTTTCTCTACCTAAATTAAGGGTTATTGTCCCATAAAACTCAATCTGCTAGTCACTGTCTCCAGTACTGTCACAAGATCCATTTCAGTGGCCCTTCCTGTTGAGTGGCTACAGGCTCCTTGGGGAAGTAGGCTACAAACTCCACATCAGTATTACGCTCACTTCTGCCTACTGGGCTGTTTCTGGACTAGGCTCTAGCAGGTGTGACAGCCTTGGATTGTGCAACCTGCTGCTCTCCCCTGGGACATGTGGATCTTTAACTTCCGGGAAGTGGAAGGTCCACAACAAGCCATGTCCCTAATCTGCAATACTCTGGTGGAAGTGTGTTCAGACATCCAGGTCATTCCAGCATACTAGGAAAGAAACAAGATCAAGGAAGAACTCCTCCCTCCACACTCACTCCAAACTAGTAAAGAAAGGCTTGCAAAATGAAGATTGAGTTTGTTATAAACCGAAGAACCAGACATTTCTTCACCCATCTTATCCTCACAGTAATTTCACGAAGTTTACAAAAGGCAGCAAAGGCAAACAAACCCTAGCTCCAGAAGACACGGCATCACTAAGGCACCATTTCATCTGAAGTAAGTTAAACAGGTGAGCCCCAAAGCTTCCTTCTGACCCCACGGGGTGATCAGAGACCACACACTTAGGAAGGCCTGCTGAAAACAAAACCTAAGGGACATTTGAGAGAAAATTCGGGCCACGTTTGTACTTTGCTAGGTCACTGTCACTTGCAAAGACCTCTCAACCCAGTGCCACCCTTTCAACCGAACTTCCTCTCCACACCCAGCCCCAAGTCATTCACTTAGGCAATCAATCTGAAGATAAACCGGCTGCTGTAGAAAAATTCACATCAAAAAAAGAAGTTCAGATAAACCAATGGCACCTCGGCAGCAAACACAAAATCAGTGAAAAACCCAATGCCTCACTCCAGAATTCCCATCCAGGTGCTGAACAGTCCTTGCAGTCACGCGGGAATCCCAGCCTTCTCCGGGACATTTCCCAGGACACCCAGGACACAACCCTGCAAGAGCTGAAGGTGCGCTGCGGGGTGGCCCCCTTGGGGAGTACCTGGATGTGTCCCTCAAGTCTCCGGCCCGACCCTTATCCCAAAGGATAATGATCCACACTAAGGCAAGGGAGAAAGACGCAGATTTCAAAGTCAGACTGCCTTTGCCCCTAGAGTTGGAATAGGCTTTGCAGCCTGCTGCCTGCGACTAGCAGAACGGCGCAGCTCCGGGCGCAGCGTAGCGACTGCGAGTGAGTGAGAGAGCTCTAAGGCAGGGCTGGGGGCTCGGGGAGAGCTGGTTCCTCGCTCACCTACTGCGACCAGGACCTGCCGCAGCTTCCCGGGACCACCTAGCACCGGGAGATTCGTCCTTGGAAATTGTGGATCTTCAGTTCACCCTGGCTCAGCGAGTTGCACGTGCTGCTCCCGGCTGCTTCCCCATCTCTCAAACTTCCAGTAACTGAAAGGAGGAAACAGCAGCCTTCCCGGCTGCCGGTGGAGGGAGTGGGTGTAACTTGTGAAGTTTCGTGCTATGATGAATCTGGTCATTTGGGTGTGTTGGAAGGGCCTGTGGCTCCTCCCTCCTCCTCCTCCCTTGCCTCCTTCCTCTCCGCCTCCTTTTCCAATTTAATTCTCGCCTTTCTGGTTGGCCAGGCCAAAGACTCAGGCCAGCTGTCTTTCAGAGTCACAGCACCATGCTCGCCACATCCTTAGGGGAGGTTGATTTCTAGCATGTCTTAACTATTTCGCAGATGAACTTGGGCACCCTGCACAAAACATAACTTTTGCCAGCACATGGCAAGAACACAGCTTTTTCTTAATGGACTGAATGGGCTAGAGATCTTAACTACTTCCCACCTGGTCCTTTTATGGCAGAACAGTGGGTGCTTTACTGAATGAAGACCTAACTCCTAGACATCTGTTTAAATAAAATACAGAAAAGAAAAGGGGGGAAAAATAAACCTTTAGCCAGTTTTTCTTTAAAACAGGTGACCCCCCTCCCCTAAAAAAATCCGGGCATGGCGGTCCACACCTTTAATCACAGCACTCAGGAGCCAGAGACAGGATCTCTGAGATCAAGGCCAGTCCGGTCTGCATAACAAGTTCCAGGTCAGCTGGGCCTACAGGGAGACCCCATCTCAAAAAAAAAAAAAAAAAAAGCCACGGGTGACAATGTATTTGGGGTAGAAAAAAATATACATTTGAAGACTGGGTGTGGTGGCACATGTCTTTAGAACAGGGAGGGGTTCAAGGCTGCCATGTGAGTTCAAGGCCAGCCTGGTCTACATAGTGAGACCCTGCCTCAAAAAAAATTTTTTTAATATGATAAAAGTCTAAGTGCCCATAACTACGCAGTATTCAAAAATTAAAACTGCCAGCATAAGCTATCTAGAAAATCCTCCCTGAAATTCTTCCCTCTTCCTCTAAAAGGAAAGCTGCCATATGTTTGATTCCCATGAACAATTTTTATATCAGTTTCTAAAAATTGTAGAGGAAACACACTAACTTCAAGTTCAACAGAAAGCAGTTTAAGAAGGAATCCTCTGCTGAATTGACCTTGGCTTCCAAATATCAGCTTCATTAAATAAAACTTACAATGACCACTGATAAAAATGAACCGAAAAAGAGTCAGGCATGGTGGACCATGCCTTTAATCCCAGCACTTGGAAGGCAGAGGCAGGCTGATCTCTGTGAGATCAAGGCCAGCCTGTTCACATAGGGAGCTCCAGGCAAACTGTGGCTACAGGGAGACCATCAAAAAGAGTCCAAAAATTCACAACACTGGAAAATAGCAAATCTGGGGTGACAAGCCAGAGGCTGTGTCTGAAAGGGCTGAAGCATTCATGGATGAAATTGATGGATGAATAAAGCATTATCATAAATAAACTATTATTATTTCATAAGTTGTTAGCTGTGCCAAAAGTCAGATTCTCTTTCTCTCTCTCTCTCTCTCTCTCTCTCTCTCTCTCTCTCTCTCTCTCCACAAGGGGCTTTCCTCACACACAGGCTACAAAAATAGAAACACAACATCCATTAAAGGATAATAACCACTCAAACACCAGTCAGAATTGTAGGCAAGAAGCAATGATCAGGAAAAAAAAAAATGTAACTTTGGGGCTTGGGAGCTAGCTCAGTTGGTAAAGTGCTGGTCTAAAGTGCTAGGAACAAGACAGGATCCTCAGCGCTGCTGTAAAAAGCAAAAAAAGCCGGGCATACTGGCATGTGCCTTTATCCTAGCATGGGGCAGCAAGGATAGGAAAATTCCCTAAGATTGATGGCCAGACAGTCTAGCTGAATCTGTGAGCTCCAGGTTCAGTGAAAGACCCTGCCTCAATATATGAAAGTGGAGAATGACTCAGGAAGACACCCAACATTGACCTCGGGCTTCCACACACATATATGCACACATGTGAACATATGCATGCACTCATGCACAAAAAATGCAACTTTTCAGTGATCAGACTCAGTGTGTTGAAAACTATGATAATTTTAAACTTGACAAATATACGAGCACGTGTATAAACACGAAGACAGAGATGTCCGGCTCATCTTTATAGTCTTGGTAATTTTCATAGAGGTTGGCATAAGTAAATGAACAAAGCAAACAAACAAAACTGCACCCCCACCAGCTCTAAAGAGCAAGATGAAGTGTTTGTGAGGAGCAGGGTCCTTAGCCAGAGGTGATTCTGTCCCAAGGAATATTTGGCAGTATCTGGAGACACTTTCTGTTTTTACAAGTTGGGCGAGGATACTACTGGCATCTACTGGAAGGAAATCAGGAATACTGCCAAAAATTCCACTGCACATCAGACAGACCCCATCACAAAGAATCACCCAGCCCTCAGTGCCCACAGAGCTGCTAATAAGAAGGACCCAGACAGAGGTGCTACCCTCTCCTGTCAGTGTATTCCCTACAGATTCATCAATGTTAAAAAGACTCTCCAAGAATAATATTTCTCCTTTTTTCCCGGTGTTCAGCATCGGATGGAAGCCAAGTTCAAAAGCAGAAAGGTACTCGGTGGTCTAGGATACAGATTTGGTGTCCAGGCAGTCACAAAACTAATAACTCAGTGAATTGGGGTTAAAAAAAATAATAAAGGGGGTGAGACTAGAAGATGATAAAAATCAAGGTACCAGCTTTAGAATCAGAGCACAGCGGAGAGGAAGAGGACGTGGTATATACTGAAAGATGTGAGGCACGAAGACAGAGGAAGATGTCTAGTGGCCCCGTCAGTCACGTCTGTATTGGCAGGCATGAGTCTACACTGGAACAGGAAGGATGTTTAATCTCATTACAGTTTATCAAAAAGAACGTGACAAACCACTTTCGGGTAAAAGGATGCAAGTAAGTGGTGGGCTTGGCAAAGGTTTTCTGATCTCACCATTTTCTCAGTATTTCTTGAGTTTTATTGTATTTCTAATCCTAATTATGTAATTCTAATTATGTGAATTTATCAGGCACAGTGTAATTGTGTGTATAAGTGACATAAAGATTGAGGCACTGCCACATTTGCATTTGGGGTGAAGCTGACTAGATTCCTAAGCAGATTGGTTCAGAAGAGCCTTGAACAGAAATCCAGAAGGCAGTGCCCTAAAGATGACATTTGTGTCATTGAACACAACAGGAATTTTAAGCATATCATTGGCTACAGTCTGCTGTGCCCCTAGATTCTTTAACTGTAGCTTTGTACCTACCCATTTACAAGCCTCTCCCTTCCCTCTCTAGCCTGTAGTAACCATGATTCCACTATCCGAAGAAGCGTGTAACTCTTGGATTCTATAGAAATGTTCAGTTCTTTCTGGGATTACTTCATTTTTCTCTGGAAGGAGAGAAGAGGTGTTGATGATGCTGTTGTTTGTTGTTGATGATGATTTTTGTTGCTGTTATTACTCTGTGCTGCACGGAAAGTGGACTGCTCAGTTTTAATGCCTTTGAAGCCACACTATGGCAGGCTCTAGGTGAAAGTACATTGGACTGAAGTGAGTCTGTCCCCACCTCCTTCACTTCTTGGGTCTTAAAGTAGAGTTCCTTATGGCTGCTTCCAGAAATCTCCCAGAGATTCCTTGAGGTCCAATCTAAGAGGACATAATTAGCGTGTAACACCTGCTAGGATCAGTTAGTGCCTGGTAAATTTCCAAATACCTAGACAGAATGGCTGCTGACACAGGAAAACCCACAAACATCTAAACTGAGAGACCTTCAGGCACACCAGGCCCCAGAAGAATGTCTCTTCCCACCTGAACATGTTCCTGGAGCAGGAGGGCTACCCAGGGAAAGCCGGGCTGGGGAACTTGCTGCACACCAGACTCTGTGGCAGGGACGACACCCAGTCCTCTTCAACTTACCAGCTTCTTAACCCGAAGCTGAAAAGTCACTAGTTTTGCTTTTGGCCCTATGAACTCAGAAATAGAAAATGTGGAGATAGTTATGAACTTGACCCTAAATAATGAGCCCGTGCATGAATGCACAGTATTTCTGAGCCAAAGAAATGTGTCCAGTAGAGGGAGCATGGCTGACTAGTCTCTCAGTTTCTCAAGATCAGGATCACCATGGGGACGATGCTAACTGATCCAAGTTACAAAAATAATCATGCATCAACGAAAGTGAAAACACTCCTGTAAGATATTTTTGAAACACCAGAAACAGTGACACACTTAAACGGTATCTTCATTATCAATAGATGATACAAGAGCAAAATTAACATGGTGGAAAACAACATTGGTACGTGGAGAAAAGGCCCGAAAAGGTTAAACCTCTCTATTTCTAAACTCTCTCAGTCAAATATATACTCCAAATGAAAATCTAGCTGGCTGTGTATGTGCGTGTGTGATTCCAGCACTTCAGAGTTTAAGGATGGAAGACTGTCTTCCAAGACAGTATGGGCTACATAGCGAGACCTGGCTTTACAAAAAAAAAGGAAAAAAAGAAAAATCATATTGAGGTTTATTTGTGATTATTCTCTCCAAAGATTTTTCAACTCAGTCTTTAGCTTGCTAATTTACATACCATGTCTATGATAACCGACTTTAAAGAGTCCTTTTGTGTTCAATGATACAAATGTCATCCTTAGGCCACTGCCTTCTGGATTTCTGTTCAAGGGTCTTCAGAACCAATCTGCTTAAGAATCTAGTCAGCTTCACCCAAAATGTGGCAATCAGTAGATCTGAGGTCCAAGGCTCTTATGCCCATACCTAGAGTGGGGCTTCCTTCCACCTTGCCCAGCTCTCACAGGGAGTAGAGGAGGGTTGCCAAGTACAAGGCAAGAAGTGCTCACACCAACCTGCCCATCACCTAGCAACAGCCTATCAGCAGCAAGGCTGGAGAGAGGTGACCTCCTCCTCCAATTAGGGGATCCCTAACAGGGGTGTTAACTAACACAAATTCTCTGAATGTAAATAAAAAGACCATTTCCCAGAATAACTTTAATTCCAAATAGAGATTCCATTAACCCTGTGGAGTCACCATAGAAAGTCAGCTGGTTTCTTGGAAACACATCTTGTGGTTA